CCTTCGTGGGCAACATCGCCAAGGACCTGGGCCTGGAGCCCCCGGAGCTGGCGGAGCGCGGAGTCCGAATTGTCTCCAGAGGTAGGACGCAGCTCTTTGCCCTGAACCCGCGAAGCGGCAGCTTGGTCACGGCGGGGAGGATAGACCGGGAGGAGCTCTGTGATAGATCTCCAAAGTGTGTGGTAAGCCTGGAGATTCTCCTAGAGGACAAAGTAAAGATTTTTGGAGTAGAAGTGGAAATAATCGATGTTAATGATAATGCGCCCAACTTTGGGACAGAGCAAAGGGAAATAAAAGTCGCTGAATATGAAAGTCCTGGGACAAGATTCCCTCTTCCTGAAGCTTTTGATCCGGATGTAGGGGTAAACTCTCTGCAGGGATACCAGCTCAGCTCAAATGCTTACTTCTCCCTGGACGTGCAAAACGGAGCCGATGGGATAAAGTACCCTGAGCTGGTGCTGGAGCGCGCCCTGGACCGCGAGGAAGAGGCAGTTCACCATCTGGTCCTCACTGCCTTCGATGGAGGCGACCTGGCTCGCTCTGGCACTACCAGAATTCACGTAACACTTGTGGATACGAACGACAATGCCCCCCTATTCACTCAGCCCGAGTACCATGTGAGTGTTCGGGAGAATGAGCCTGTGGGCTCCCGAATTCTCACCGTAAAAGCCACTGATCCAGATGAAGGAGCCAATGGAGAAGTGACATATTCTTTCCGGAAAGTAAGAGATAAAATATCCCAGCTATTCCAGTTGAATTCTGTGACTGGGGACATAACAATATTGGAGGACCTGGATTATGAGGACTCTGGATTCTATGATATAGATGTAGAGGCTCACGATGGTCCTGGCCTCCGAGCCAGAAGTAAGGTACTGGTGACAGTGCTGGATGTAAATGACAATGCTCCAGAAGTGACGGTTACATCTCTCACCAGCTCTATCCAAGAAACCTCTTCCCCAGGCACAGTAATTGCACTTTTCAATGTGCATGATAGTGATTCAGGAGAGAATGGCCTAGTCACATGTTCTATTCCAAATAATCTGCCATTCACACTTGAAAAGACCTACGGAAATTATTATCGATTGTTGACACACAGAGCTCTGGATAGGGAAGAAGTCTCAGAATATAACATCACAGTAATGGCCACTGACCACGGAACTCCACCACTGTCTACAGAAACTCACATCTCACTGAAGGTAGCAGACATCAATGACAACCCGCCTGCCTTCCCTCATGCTTCTTACTCTGCCTACCTTCCTGAAAACAACCCCAGAGGAGCCTCCTTTTTATCCATAACCGCCCAGGACCCTGACAGCATTGAGAATGCCAGAGTCACTTACTCCCTGGCTGAGGGCACGCTCCAGGGGGAGCCTCTCTCTTCCTATGTCTCTATCAACTCTGACACAGGAGTCCTGTATGCTCTGCGCTCATTTGACTATGAGCAGGTTAGAGACCTGCAACTACTGGTGACAGCTAGTGACAGTGGGGACCCTCCTCTCAGCAGCAACGTGTCTCTAAGCCTATTTGTTCTGGATCAGAATGACAATGCACCTGAAATACTGTACCCCTCTCTCCCCACCGATGGTTCCACTGGTGTAGAACTGGCCCCCCGCTCTGCAGAACCTGGATACCTGGTGACCAAGGTGGTGGCAGTGGACAGAGACTCAGGCCAGAACGCCTGGCTGTCCTACCGCCTGCTCAAGGCCAGTGAGCCTGGGCTCTTCGTGGTGGGGCTGCACACGGGCGAAGTACGCACTGCGCGGGCCCTGCTGGACAGAGATGCGCTCAAACAGAGCCTGGTGGTGGCAGTTCAGGACCATGGCCAGCCCCCTCTCTCAGCCACTGTCACACTCACCGTGGCTGTGGCTAACAGCATCCCAGATGTGTTGGCTGACTTGGGCAGTCTTGAGATCCCTTCGACTCCAGAGGCCTCAGACCTCACTCTGTACCTGGTGGTGGCAGTGGCTGCGGTCTCCTGTGTCTTCCTTGCCTTCGTTATCATCCTACTGGCTCTTAGGCTGAGGCGCTGGCACACATCACGTCTGCTCCAGGCTTCTGGAGGTGGATTGGCGGGGGTGCCCACCTCACACGTTTTGGGCGTGGATGGGGTGCAGGCTTTCCTGCAGACCTATTCCCATGAGGTCTGCCTCACTGCTGACTCGGGGAAGAGTCACCTGATCTTCCCCCAGCCCAACTATGCTGACACACTCATCAGCCAGGAGAGCTGTGAGAAAAGCGAGCCTCTTTTGATAACTCAGGATTTACTTAAAATAAAAGAAGACCCCAATCTTCTTCAGGTAAGTCAATCTTGCCACCCATAGGCAGACAGCTGTGTCTTTAATTTTATAAGCTCTGGTTGTATAAGATATGTTCCAAATCACATAAGATACTTCTTTTTAGTATTCTATTGCTTTAAAGGGGAGGGCAAATGATCCTTCAATAATGATTAATAATGGTTACTGCACCTAAAAGGTATTTTTTTTTTACTTATTCTTTGTAGTCTTCATCCAGTAATAGTTTCAGCAACAATTTCTTAATTTTATATCTCTAACTACTGTACTTCAGATCTTTAAAGCCATTTTCTTTCCTTTAAGTCTTATTGAAAGTATCAAAGTGTGAAATAAAAGGCAATTGTGAAAATTCATATTTAAACATTCTCTCTTGTGAACATATTGTTGAATCTGGACTGAGTAAATTTTTCTCTTTTTAAACCCCAGCATATTTTTCTTGAAATTTACTTTTTTTTTAGTTGAAAGGGTATTTTCCATTATAATTGAATGATGGCAGTTTATAAATACTGGGGAGAATATTTAAAATTTACCTATACCTTTAACAGTGATAGCTTCTCAATTGGATTGGTATATTGTAAATATTTTGTGGTTGCAGTTTCTGAGATGCACTAGCAGTGACTGTGTGATTCCTTCTATGCACTTCTGTGATTTCCAAAAATATTGCCCATTTTATTTCAATCATTTCATTTTAATAATATCTAAATTACCTATTATGGCATCACTATGAGACCTTTCTCTATTTCTAAGGAAACGTAACTTTGAAAAATACTTCCTTTTTTCATCATGGGATCCCCTTATAAAGGTTGGGTAACTCAATTTCAGAACTGATCTGATAAGTAGGCCTCATCCCTGTTCCTGCAAATTGCCCTCAGGTAGCTCCATCACTTTGTGGCTCTGCAATGATCTGATATAAGGGGAAATATTTTGTATGCAAGGGCTATGCAACTTCTGTTCCTTATGACTTCATTCAGCTCTCTTAGTTTGGGATTCATGAATGTCTAAGACTACACAAATTAGTGGTGTTTGGATACCTGGAAATTGTATCAATAGATTGTGAACTATGCCTCAATTCAACTTAAGAAGGAGAGTTTCAGTTTCTAGATTTTTTTGTCTCCGTGGGAAGTTGTGGTGCAATACAATATAATAAATAAGAATGTGATATGATACAACCAACTGGCATGGGGAGGAAAAAGCAAGTAACAAGTGGATATTGAGCAATAAATCATATTTGAGGAGAGATTATTTACAATACTAGTGCTTTAAAATATAACTTGGAAATACTGTCTCTAACTGTGTCAAACATATTTGGATGGTGATATTAGAATATATTTCAGAATCAGAATGGTACATATTTTAAATGATTAGGAGAGCAGCAGTAGATAATTTATAACCTAATAACATACGGAAAATATATTTTTGTTTGAATGGGTACTGATTTTCTTTTAGAAAATACTATTTCTGGTTAAATAAATTATTGTACAACCATATGGTGGGCTACTACATAGGTATAAGAAATAAATGGAAAACTTCTTTATGTACTGATATGAAATGCAAGATATAATGAGTAAACAAAGCAAGCTGCAAAACGTGGTATATTGTATACTTTCATATATGTATGAAAGTATACAGTCTGATAAGTAGGCCTCACCCCTGTTCCTGCAAATTGCCCTCAGGTAGCTCCGTCACTTTGTGGCTCTGCAACGATCTGATATAAGGGGAAATATTTTGTATGCAAAGGCTATGCAACTTCTGTTCCTTATGACTTCATTCAATTCTCTTAGTTTGGGATTCATGAATGTCTAGGACTACACAAATTAGTGGTGTTTGGATACCTGGAAATTGTATCAATAGATTGTGAACTATGCCTCAATTCAACTTAAGAAGGAGAGTTTCAGTTTCTAGATTTTTTTGTCTCCGTGGGAAGTTGTGGTGCAATACAATATAATAAATAAGAATGTGATATGATACAACCAACTGGCATGGGGAGGAAAAAGCAAGTAACAAGTGGATATTGAGCAATAAATCATATTTGAGGAGAGATTATTTACAATACTAGTGCTTTAAAATATAACTTGGAAATACTGTCTCTAACTGTGTCAAACATATTTGGATGGTGATATTAGAATATATTTCAGAATCAGAATGGTACATATTTTAAATGATTAGGAGAGCAGCAGTAGATAATTTATAACCTAATAACATACGGAAAATATATTTTTGTTTGAATGGGTACTGATTTTCTTTTAGAAAATACTATTTCTGGTTAAATAAATTATTGTACAACCATATGGTGGGCTACTACATAGGTATAAGAAATAAATGGAAGATTTCTTTATGTACTGATATGAAATGATCTCCAAGATATAATGAGTAAACAAAGCAAGCTGAAAAACATGGAATATTGTATATTTTCATATATGTATGAAAGCAGGGGGGACGTTTATAAAATTCTGCTTCACTATACAAAACATTTCTCTGGAATAGTACACAAAAAAAGAACACTTATTTCTTCCGGGACAAATGTGTTGTTGAAAACAAAGAGGAAGAGTCTATAGAATATGCTGAATATACCTTTGGAACTATATGAATGTATACCTACTTAAACAAATAAATACTCTATAAATCCGCAAGAGCAAAAAAGTTCTTTGCAAAACATTTAGTACAAGCCATTGGAGCAGTTTCACGGGAAAACCCCTGGGCGTCGCTGTAGGTTAAAAGAAGAGCAGGAAGATGTCTGAGATGCATTCGGGAGCCTCTCGGAAGGTAACTTCCTGCTCAAACCAACCACGGAGGAGGCCAGTACAGATTCAGTTATAAAAACAAAGCAGGGGAATTGCCCCTACCCCGGATTTTTGCCATCCACGGAGGGTTTATTCCTCCCCCCGGCCTAGGGCCAAGGAGCAGAGCAGCAGCGGAGGGAGACAGAGGATGAGGCTGAGCGCGGAGAGGAGCAGCGCGGGGCGGTGGCGGCAGGTATTGTTGCCCTTTCTGCTTTCTTTGTTCCGCGGGGCTCTCCCGGACCAAATCCGCTATTCAATCCCCGAGGAGCTGGCTAAGAACTCGGTGGTAGGAAACCTCGCCAAGGATCTGGGGCTCAGAGTCCGGGATCTGCCGGCCCGGAAGCTGCGGGTTAGCGCAGAGAAGGACTATTTCACTGTAGATCCTGACAGCGGGGACTTACTTGTGAGCGACAGAATAGACCGAGAGCAGATTTGCGGGAAGAAGCCTCTGTGTATTCTGGATTTTGATGCGGTCGCTGAAAAACCACTAAATATTTTCCATGTAGCAGTAGTAGTGCAGGATATAAATGACAATATGCCCTTATTCAAACAGAGTAAGATTGATTTAAAAATAGGAGAATCCACTAAGCCAGGTAAAACATTTCCACTAGACCCGGCCCTGGATTCGGATGCTGGTCCTAATTCACTGCAAAGGTACCACCTCAATGACAATGAGTACTTTGATCTCACGGAGAAACAGACTCCAGATGGACGTAAGTATCCTGAGTTGATCCTGAAACATTCTCTGGACAGAGAAGAGAAGATTTTCCATCAACTGGTCCTCACAGCTGTGGACGGTGGAGACCCACCCCAAAGTGGCACCACCCAGATCCAAATCCAAGTCACGGATGCCAATGATAACCCCCCGGTGTTCAGCCAGGACGTGTACAGGGTCAGCCTGAGGGAGGGCGTGCCCCCCGGCTTCCCTGTGCTTCAAGTGACGGCCACGGACCAGGACGAGGGCATTAACGCGGAGGTCACCTACTCCTTTCATAATGTGGACGAACAAGTGGAACAATTTTTTAACTTAGATGAAACAACAGGAGAAATCACCACGAAGGATCATTTTGATTTCGAAATGGTTAATAGTTACACCCTCGGTATAGAAGCGAAAGATCCTGGGGATCTAGCAGCCCACTGCAGTATCCAAGTCGAAATCCTCGATGAGAATGATTGTGCCCCTGAAGTGATTGTGGCCTCCGTGTTTACTCCTCTTCCAGAGGATTCACCACCAGGAACGGTGATCGCCTTGATAAAAACAAGAGATAGAGACTCTGGAGAAAATGGAGAGGTTTACTGCGGCCTATTGGGAAAGACGGAGTTTACATTGAAATCTTACTCAAAGAACTACTACAAGCTGGTGACAGACAGGACCCTGGACAGAGAACAGACCCCGGAGTACAATGTCACCATCACAGCCACTGACAGGGGCAAGCCGCCCCTCTCCTCCAGCACCACCATCACCCTGCGCGTCACTGACGTCAACGACAACGCCCCGGTTTTCCAGCAGCCAGCCTACCTGGTCCACGTGCCAGAAAACAACCCGCCCAGGGCCTCCATCGCGCAGGTCAGCGCCTCCGACCCCGACCTGGGACCCAACGGCCAGGTGTCCTACTCCATCGTGGCCAGCGACCTGGAGCCACGGGCGCTGTCGTCCTACGTGTCCGTGAGCGCGCACAGCGGGGTGGTGTTCGCGCAGCGCGCCTTCGACCACGAGCAGCTGCGCGCCTTTGAGCTGACGCTGCAGGCCCG